TTGTGGGTGTTAATAAAAAACTTGATAATGTGGCATGTGATATCAACTTTACTCGAAATGTCGATCTAATAATGTTACCATCAAATAAAGCGAATGATTGGAAAACTAGTGTAATACTTGATCGAGTTTTTATGCGCATATTACCTCGAATTCATGAGAATGTAGAATGTCTTACTATTCAAGGATGTTTCTTGCAACGTCTTCTTCTTGCTGGTAATTATCGTAACTTACGCAAACTCATTCTCATTAATCTTGAATTGAAGATGGCTTCTCATGTCTTCAATGGTATGTTAATTGATTTCGAAATGTTCAACAAGTAGAATAGATCTTTGTATTTTTAGAAAATTCTTCATTTATTCATACTTTCAAACACCAAATTTCAGATTTGGTCGTAACGATTAATGTTCCAATTTCAGATAAATCAATGAAGAATTTAATAATTGATATTTATTCTAAAATTTTTGCCTTATTAACAAATCTGGACTATTTGGATTTGGATGTAGATGATATCTATCCTTTTCGACAATCATTGCTACGTGATTTACCTTCTACCACATGTTTTTCGTCGAATATTGTTCATTTACGGATTAAAATGCACAATTTTGATGATTGTCTATATCTACTTGATGATCGTCTTAGTCAATTACATACATTTATTATCACTCTTGATTACATATATGATATGATGAATTTCATGCGTCGTCGTCCATTAAACATCAGAGACGATTCATTAAAGATCATAAATAATTTGGTAAATAAACATATTTTTATTTTAGTGTTTACTAGAAAACTATGGAATTAATAATATTTAGAAACAATTCTCTAAAATATGTACTCATGTGTAAAAAAAAAAAACTAACAAAAGGGAACACATATTATGGAAAAACTAGCAAGTGAATAATTTAATTTAAATAATATCTAGTGATATTCCGTTGTGAACTTTATTGTTCATAAGTATATTTGATTTTCTCGTTTGTAAGTGTGAGTTCTGTATTAAATACATTTAAACTTCTAAATGGAGATGAGAAATAGTTCTATCATCAAATAAACGAAGATATACCTCGAAAAATATAGAAAAGGAAGAATTAGAAATATTGATAACTCTGTTTTTCTACACAGAACGTATTCAATTGTACGTGAGTTCCTCTTTCGTCGTTCATCCATTATTAATTCTGTTAAACAAATATGAAAATACAGTTTATTAGTGCAGGCCCTTCTGGGCTCAAATGTGAAGCTCACATTAGTTTTCTACTCATTACACTAATACAAATTACATTAAGTGAAAAATCTCGCAGAAAAGTTATTTTGCAGGATAATCGATCATCAGAGTAAGTACCTCTAATATCTGTATATCAAGTAGAGTTTTTGTTTTTTAATTTTTTTTACGGATATCCTAGTTTCTGTTTGCATTGTTGTCATTCACTTCCTATGCTCCCATTTTCTAATGCGTTTTTCTTAGTTTAAGATTTTTATTATGATTATTGAATTAAATGGCAAGTGAGCCTATTTTACATTCATGATATTTACAGCAGATCTTAAGGTTCTATTATGTATCTTAGTCAACTCAAAAAAAAATGATGTGCATTATTTTTCAAAATTATAACTTGATCAATTTTGCAAAAAAAAAAACTCTAGAAAGTCTGGCGTCTGTTGTTCTAGATTGCTTAAGTCTGTAATGAGAAGGGAGCGGAACCGCAAAATTTCGACTTAAAACTTACATTCGTAATTTTTTTTTGAAAATATATGAGAATTCTACCATATAATAGAGATGAGTATAAAAATATTTTAACTTTTCTTAAACTATGTTTAAGTAAAAAAATTGGAAAGTAACTAATTCAAGAAAAAATTATTAGTCGATACCTTATATATGATCATCTTGTTCCATAATCATGTTAAATAGAACTAAGTGAAATCTATTATTGGACGAAGAATTTAATATGATATCATTGCTCAATGTTTATTATATTTTGTTTTTTTATTTGTATAGAATACTCTACTTAAACTCAGGTGTTTTTCGTTATATGTATATTTTTCAACAAATGAATTCGACAATCTAATTGTGCCCCTTCTTCGTCGAATGTCAAATTTAGAAAAGTTAACATTATCTCTTCGTGTTCGTGGACGAAATTCATTCATTGATGGTACTTATCTGCATAACTATGTGCTCAGTCAAATGCCACATCTACATACATTTGCCTTCAACATTGTTACAGATTTTGTCAGGATTAATCAACAATTTAAACCGTCGTCTGATGATATTCGACGCACATTCATCGAAAAAGGTTATCATGTTGATTGTTCCGTCGAATATAATGATTTTAAAGGAGGTCGATGTCACGTTTATTCGCTTTCATTCAATATCGAACGTATACGTTACATTACGCATAGTTTTTCTGGTGGTATGTTCATGAATGTTCGCGTTCTGCATATGTGTGACCTTACTCATCCTTTCGAACACGATCTTTTTGCTCGAATCTCGCATTCATTTCCATTACTCAGTAATCTGACAATCACCAATATAATGCCACAAAATGAAAATCGATCACAACAGCTAGTCGAATCTGAAGAAGCATCCTCAATTATTGAATATTCGCATCTCGTCGAACTTAGCTTTAGCTGTACTAGTGCACATATTGACTATGTGGAACAATTTCTTTGCAGTTTGAATACACGTCTACCTTGTCTTAGCAAACTTCATGTTGAATATGAACATTTAGTAACTGTTACAAAGAATTTTACAAGAAATACAACACGTATGAATTGTGCAAAATTGAAACATATCAATTTTCGTCGTAAACGTGGGATCGTTCGTTCAAAAGATTTTGACCTTTATTTTCCTTTGTTATCTTACAATAATTGTAAATAATAGACTTGTTTAATAATATATCAATAAAATAAAATGAAAATACCTACTTAGAAAAATTATACATATGAAAAGATTGAGTTTTATATATTATCCTATTCACACTGATTATAAGATAAAGAACTTGGATTTGTTGAATTGTTTGATATTTTTATTTTTTCATTCAGCAATGTTTTAACTATGATAACAATATATGTCAGAAACGAACTCAGTTCGTATTTTTTTTACGAACTGAACCAATCTCAGTGAACAAGACTAAAAACTTACCATAGTTTGTGAATGAAATTAGCTTCAAGTCGCTTCTATGAAGGATTTTTTCTTAGATTAATGATATCATTGGTGAATTGAATTGAAGCGATTTTATGTACTCTACTTTTGAGGGACTGAAAAATAAGTTTAAATTCTAACTTTATACAAAACTTGTTGTTATAGAAATTTATTGCTCTATTTTTCAAAGTAAATTGTCTTGTTTATATAAACTTAAACGGTAAATATTTCTGATCCATCTATCTATTATATCATATTTTTATGGGAGGTTTTTATTAAGTTGTGTAGGTTAAACTCCTCAAATTTGATATAGTATATCATGTATTTTACATCAATGGAGAAAATTCTTTACTCTAGATTTTGATGAAAACTTCATTGTATTTTGCTTCTACTATTTTATAGAAATTAGCAATTACATTAGTCGATCTTTCTGAACACAGTATGGAAGATTATTCTTTTGAGTCAAGTATTATTTCTGAAATGTTTATTATCATAATATCGAAAGTATAAATTATTTCTAAATGAATAGTTTAATCAGTGCAAATTATTCGATTATCCATATGAAAAAATACACGAAAAACAACAGTTTTAGAGAAAAGAGCTTTTCTATGTTTTTAAGAATCTTTATTATTATGTTTATTTCGCAGATATCTCTTCTCTAGCTTAGAAATATAGATCAAGACATAAAGAATGTGTTGGCACATAACTGAAATTTCAGCGACATTCCTATAACAAATTGTTACTCTCGTTTATCATTTTTTCGTAGTAGTTGACAAACTGTCAGTTGTAGTGTCCTGCATAATCATTCCATCGTGGCCAAAGAAAATAATGATTGTTTGATAATAGTTTTCATTGTGGGTATGAAAAAATAATTCTACTTGTCATTTTGTATTCAAAATTTTTAATCCTCAACTGGCATATAAAAGTCGATGATATAATGATGTAGAGCAGAGAAAACTGTGGCATAATCATCGCGACCAATTTCGGTCATGGTCAGTTACGAAACTTTCTAGTCATGATGAATGTTCCCCAGTTTTCTCTCCCGTAAGCCGTAGTATTCCGAACTTTTATATGCTATTTTGAAGAACTGAAAATTCTGAACACAAAATGTCAAATAGAATTATGCTTTCCTATTCACCATGAAAAGATGGTCACACAGCACACTAGTCAGTTGTCTAAGTTTTATGAGAGAGCAAAAGTTTTGTTTAATAAACAACATTTGACAGGTTTTTAAAGTAGAACAGTATGTAATTAATTAACATAAAATCAAATTCCAAACCTATTTTTAAACGTCTTATAAGCAGAACAAAAGAAATACTCAGCTCAATCAGGTACAAGGCATTAATGTATATTTTATTTGATTAAATGTAAAATAGTTATTGTAGAGCTTGTCCTTAAACAAGTATGGTCTCCGAGTTTTACTTTTTTTTCTTAGTACATTAGTTTTGACTAAGCTCATAATGAATTGAAATAACTCTTTCAATATTACTTAGCCCTTCATTGTTGTTCTGGGTAGGGGTGGGAAGTTACCGTTACCCGGGAGTTACGTTACCGGGTAACTAGTAACTTTTGAGTTACTAGTTACCGAGTAACTAGTAACGCCGGAGTTACCAGTTACCAGTTACCAGGTAACTAGTAACTTCGAAGTTACTAGTTACTTTTTGTAGGTAACTTGTCTAAAAAGTCGAGATATCGCTTCCTAATGACTGAATATCATCTATTCATCACTCAATTAAATTACGAGTTACTTGGTAACTAGTAACTCCTATGTGCGTTACTAGTTACTCGGTAACTCGTGAGCTGAATAAGTACTGTAATGATGGCATTCACTCATTAGGAAGCGATATCTCCACTTTTTAGACAAGTTACCTACCAAAAGTAACTAGTAACTCCGAAGTTACTAGTTACCTGGTAACTGGTAACTCCGACGTTACTAGTTACTCGGTAACTAGTAACTTGCGAGTTACTAGTTACTTGGTAACGTAACGGTAACTTCCCACCCCTAGTTCTGGGTCCACCTGGACTCATCCATAGAAATAAGTAAAAAGAATACTTTTACTCTATTCATCAAACTTCTCATTTGTGTGATATACAGGTCTAGATGTCAGGAGTAGCGTGACTGGAGGAGGGGATGGAGACCATCCTTGCTCTGGAAAATTTTGACTTGGTCTTTCTCCGAAATCGAAAATTTTGAGGATCAATTTTCTCCAAATTTGGAGAATTTGCTAACAATGGAGATGTTTTGTATTACTAGTTAAAAACATTAGACATATTTGGATGGAATTAAAGCTTCCATCAGGAAACTATCAAATCTAAATTGTAGGTTGTCCTTGGCGTGCACGAACCGAGATATTCAAATTTTAAGGAATTTATGGTATATGTAAATTGTTTGCAGTTTAATCTTTCAGCACAGTTTTTCTTCTTTTTTTCATGATGGTTGGATAGAGCTCATCGAGTTGCATATGAAAAAGTGTGTTTCAAATTAAGAAAAGTTTTTACAAAAATCAGAATTTTGGGTCTATTTTTTTCCAAGGGGGAAATGCGAAAAACTCTGTACTTCACTATACTCTGAAGCTATGTGAAAATTATCCTTGAGAACTTTTTAGCTATTTCAGGTGTACTGACGACCTGTGTTACGGTACATTAGCCGAAGTCTCGCCTATGTAAGCCTATCTGACAATAAACCCAAAGTACTTCGTTGTAATTCACTGATACCCAAATTTTGAATTATAACGAAGTACTTTGGTTTTATTATCAGATAGGCTTACATAGGCGGGACTTCGGCTAATGTACCGTAACACAGGTCGACAGTAGATTTGAAATAGCTAAAAAATTCTCAAGGATGATTTTGACATAGCCTTACAGTACAGTTGAGTACGCTGAACTACAGAGTCTTCACTTTTTCTTCCTTGATTTTTTCTTGTATTTGGAAACGTTGGTACCCTGGATATTTTTTTCTTAAAATTTTTTTAGTTTGAAATATGCTTTGTCTTATGCAACTCGATAAGCTCTATCCAACCATCACGAAAAAAAGAAGAAAATCTATGCTGAAAAATTGAAGTGCAAGCAGCTTACATATACCGTAAATTTCTTAAAATTCGTATATCTCGGTTCATGCACGCCAAGGACAACCTACAATTTAGATTTGATAGTTTCCTGATGGAAGCTTTCTTTTGACCCAAATATGTCTAGGGTTTTTAACTAGTAATACAGACACCTCCACTGTACGTAATTTTCTCTGATTCGAAGAAAATTTTAATTTCGAGAGCAATTTCTGTCTGTCTTCGATTTTAGGATCGGCTCATCTCCCTGCTCCGCTCCGTTCGCGCTGCCCCTGCTAGATACTCTCTTTTATAAAGACTGACATGTCAGTCCTATTGATGGCACTATAACGACATAAAATATCGAAGAAGAAGATTGTCTGTAGCCTCTTTTATGACAGCACTAAAGGCAACTAAAAAAAAAAATTAGATTCAATCATTTTAGTCTAGTATGGTAGATATATGTGCTTATATTGATATATCTAATCGTTTATATATAAAAAGGGGAGATATTTTCTCTTTTAACTATCTTTGTTTTTGTGTCTTTCTTTTTCACGATTAAAAACCAGTCAAAACTTGGTTTCTTTATCACAATGATGATGTTATTTATATCTGAGTTTCTTTGTCGAATACAAAGTCTTTTTTAACCTTTTTCCTTACAGTCTGACAAATAATATAAAACTTCGCACAGGTGTATAACTGACAACAGCAGCGAATGTGGTTTTGATCAGATAAATAAAAAGATTCCACATTGTTATAATAGAATATGAATCATTATCATAATTAATGAACTTAGAAACGAATCAAAACAAACCGATTAAAAAAAAACAATACAGAGGCAACAGATGGCAGCTTCAGTAAGATGATAAACGATGCTTACAGTATTGCATTTGTTGTGGGTCCGTGCGGACCTGCAGCACCAATTATCTCCTTCTGAGCTTATCCGCAGTTTCTCATACGGATATTATCCACTAGCATAAGACTAGATATTAGCTGAAAAGACTAGTCCCACACAGAAAATCTTAATGTGGTAATGCCTGAAAAACTGAAATAGGTACAATTAGACTCAACAACAACGAAGGGTTAACGGAGTCTATTTGACTCAAAAAGCATGTTTGATTCTTATGTTTTGATGCTCATTAAATGAGTAATGATATTGAATATGAACCATAAAATTTTTCTTTTTAATTTCTTCAAAACTGTGTTTCACTACTCTGATTGAATATACTTTTGAAAAGGTTTTTTCAGATACTAGATTAACATAACATAATACCAGTCATGTTAGGTTTTAACGAAATAATTAAGACTATGAACTGAAAACATGTCTTCCAAATTTATATTAAAACAGGGAACTTCATGTGTTAGGAAAAATATGCATGAGGGACAACATCAACCATACCTGAAGATAGCTTTCTTGGTCATTATGACATAAAATTAATGGTAAGTGTAAAATCGCTTTCAATTTTTCTTCAAACTGTATCGAACCGATCGACTTTTTGAAAAGTTCAAATTGAACTGATCCCATATCTAATACTTATTTTTTCAAATGTGGCTCACAATACTTTGACGTCATGAAATATATCTCTGAAATAAATATATTTTTGTCATTCAAAGACGATATAGCATAATAATTAATAGTGCAAAATATATAATGCACATATCCTTAGTCAAAAAAGATGATAATGGTAGCAATTCAAAAGACTATTACGAAGAGAATACCAGTGTCATTATATTTCGACACGTTCTTTGCTTACCACATCTGCACTGCCCATTCTCACGCTACTTTATGCATTCCTTCTCTCCCTCTCTTATTCTTCTATATGTTGATAATAGTCACTTGATGAGAGAATAAATTCAGGAGAGGTAGCACCTAACATTAGTGACGAAGTTGGTCCACTCCATTATCATAACTACCATAGCTATCTATCCAAGTCATTGAACAATCTAAAGCATATCTAATTATGGCACAATGAATATTTGAACATTGGTAGAACATATTATCTGATACGTCATACACTGATCGTAGTCATCAGCAACATGAACTTCGCCGACGAAAATCATCCGGCAACGGTTATCAGATCCACGAAGATGTTTGGGCTCGCCACCCATACGATATAGTCATGTACGCCGTGTTCATCATCATGGTCCATCGTTCACGTCGTACCTATCCTGCAATATTGGTTGTTGACGATCAAACATTCATGTTACCCTTCAGCAATCTTTATGAGATCACAATTGAATATATCCAATTTTAATCACTACGTCGACTATGACGATGCCTGGAAGAAGTGCACAAAATTTGGCAGTATTGTCACCTATGATCGATAGAGACAATAGTAACAGGTTTCATACTCAATGGCATCAGATGATATTTTCGATTATATCATGTCATTTGAAGACTCTGCCATCGTCGATCTAAGCACAAGTGTTCGAGTATCACTATTTCACAGTGACGACTCGTATACAAGCAATGTGTACACGTCAATGAATCCATCAATTTGGATTCAAATTCCTGATCCAGAAGAGACAATCAGAAACTTTCTTTGTATGCTCCATGTGGAATGCATCATCATATATAGAATATGAGCAACAGGCTCTTGAAGTGTTGAAACAAGGCGCCTACTACAAAAAAAAAAGTGCAGCGAGCACAGCGTTAGTAGAATGTATCAACAACTCATTTTATCGTCTTCTGTAGTCTCGAGTAATGTACAATCATGTGAACATTCGATACACACCAACATTTGATTCGTCGAACCTCTTTCTCTTCATCCGATCATTGAATTCGATTCATCAATGAATAATTCATCGAATACCTTGTGGGACAAAAACAACAGCCAACACTTTCTATCAGTACATCAAACAACATTCATCATTTACCACTACCAATTTCAGTCTCGAAAGAGGGTGTGGGTGTGGATGTTAATCTTACAAATTGCTTGTCTATTGATCGCGGGAGATGCAGTGTTTTCAATACAAAGAAATACTGTAAAAATTTAAAATATCTATAGGAAAAATGATGAATTATAACATAGTGATACCATTTATTTTTATGATAATCGCTAGAGAGAAACAGTGGGGGCTTCGCTCATGAAGTCCTGAAGTCTTTTGAAGTCCTATGAAGTCTTGTGAAGTCTTTAGAAGTTTTGTGAAAATTTGAAGTCACTATGGTTGAAGTCCTTGAAGTCCGCTGTTTTCCCCTTGGATAATCGGTTCAAAAGTCAGAGTTAGATTGAATAAGTTTTATGTGTAAATCCAAACTCAATGAGCAATTTTTATTTATAATAATTTCAATCAAACTTTCATGACCAATCAGCTATGAACAATAGAAATGAGTTGTGCGTAGCAAACGTGTTCATGGCGATGCTGCTACCGTCGCCGCGACGGCGATAGTGTCGCGAGAAATATTTCAAGAACACTATCGCAGCAGCGACAGAATCTTTTTTTATTGAGATTGTAAAATTGGATGAATTTCCACCCAATTTTACTGTCTACGATGGATTCAATCCAATTGTGCTCATTTGCAAAAGAAGTTTTCGTAGAATTTCTCGAAAACCATCGTAGCAGCGGCAACTTTTTATATACTTCACCGCGTTTCGGTAGTGCTGCGATAGCCTTGTTTCTTCTAGGATCGCGTCGCAGTAGTGGCAGATTTCTAGCCGTGATGGACATTTCTGGCGTGTGTGAGCCTTCTCTTCATCCATAACGAAATTCGAACCTATGTAAGTGTCGATCTATTCTGAAATTAATTTAACTTGTTCATCATTGTAGAGGTTATTGATGAATAAAAACTTTAGAGACCTGAGTATATTTTATTATACTGTTTAGAATTGATGAACATAATTATTTTTTAATAAAAAAATTTAAAAAAATCGAGTATTACATAAGAATTAGTTTGTAATCGAAGAATTTTTGATTATAATAAAACAAAAAAAAAGAAGTAAAAATTAAAAAGTGGAAAAAATAATCGTTCCTAAATAAAGATACAAAACGATTATTGGCGGATGAGCCTTCAACAATATGAGTTCTCATATTCCAACTGGAAGACGTTCAATTAACCAAATACTGGTCGATTTTTAAGATTCTCATGTACATCGAGAATCTTACAATCTAAATCATTCAAAGTTGGATTTCGTAATGGTTGACTACGTCCACCAACACTAGTTCCTGATGAACTACAAAAAAGAAAAAGAAGATTTAAAATAATTTTTTTTCTTCTTAATCTTACCGTTCATCATCATAAAATAAATCACGAGCTTTCAATGCTGCTATATCAGCCAGATGTACAACTGATGGAATAGCTTCAGCAGCTGATGAACGAGGATCTGTAAAACATAAATGATATGTTAATAATTGTAATTCATCAGCAGTAAATCCAATTTCATCCAAAAGTACATGATAAAGTGATGGATGATTAACACCTTGAAAAGCATTATGTGAATTTAAATAAAAATTATTTTGATATGGATGAACAATTGTTGTATCAATAACAGTACCAATACTCATGTTATTTATTTCTTTTGTTGATCTATTACAATTAAAAAAACGTGTATTATGACGTTTTTTAACAACAATAAACGTCAACAATGGATGATTGGATTTATCACCATAAATACCTATTAAAAGATAATTTATAATTCAAAAATAGAAATTAATATAATTAATTTACGATCAAAAGCTTGACGAATTGCTGGAATTTCATGAGCCATAACTTTTCCAAATTGACCATCATCTACTCCTTAAAAAGAAAAAAATACTTTATCAATTGTAGCAATTCATCAAAAAAAAAAAAAATTCTTACCATCACGATAAAAAACAATTTTATTCGGTAATACTTTATTTGCTTGTCGATAATAATCTAATAATTGTTCGACCATATCAGTCATACCAACAATAGTTTCAATTGAACATTTGCCTTCTTTAGGATATTGTTGACAAACACGTACAGCTGTTGTTGAACATAAGGAATCTCCAGAACCAACAACAGCTAAAAACAAAAACTGTTAGTACAATTCCTGCGAGATTATAATGTAAAATATGATCCAGTTGCTATTGATAATCACAGGAAGATTCTGTTTTAGGACATGATCTTTTACTTAACTCTTGAAAAATCCAATAGAGAAATAGTTCATATATTATAATGAGACATTTATTAGGGTGCAAGTTTTTTGGATCCGGATCAGCTCGACAGATTCTAGTCATGGTTTGTGGGGGGTACAAATTTCTATGCTATGTATTTCAATACTTCTTTTAGATCGTGTTTTATAAACTTTCTATTTAAAATAATTTACCAGCAATTGATGGATGTTGACGAGTAACATTGGTTGGATGGATAACGTCAGCACCAAAAAACATATATGAATCTGTTTTAGAGTTTTTATACTTTAATGCTTCATTCAAATTAACTTTTGTATTGATACCAGAATTTTTATAATTAATTTTTCTAATTAAATTTTCACAATAACTTGTTAATGAACGATTAGATGCAATTTTTGAAAGTAAAACACATTGTGTCATTATACCTAAATATATGTCATTATGCATAAATTTATTTTAATCAATAAGAATAACATACCATATTTAATTGTTCCACAATCTTTTATATAAGCTTTAAGTTGTGTAAGTTCATCTTCAGATTTTCCATTCATAATACAAATAACAAATTGACATTTTCTTTCACTCATGTCACGAAAATATGCAGTAATTTTATCAATAGTAGGTGGTACAGTATGTTTCTCATATTTTACATTGACATGATAATTTTCCATCACCTAAAATAATTCAATTACTTCTTTTATTTTATATATAACTCATTGACAGAGACTTACATTTAATAAAGTTGTGAGAAAATTATTCATTAAAGTTGACTCTCGTTCAGGTTCAGTGCCAAAATATGTTATTGCTACAGCTGGAAGTGGTTTTGGTGTATATAAATGTCCATCTAGAGGAATGCGACCAATTTGAACATTTGCTTTACAATTAGGACCTGTTTGAATTTGTGGTTGAGTTAAAATTTGAGCATTTAACTGCAACATTTGTTTATCTTCAATCTGAAACCCAACTTCACGGCAAAGACGATTTAAATGTGAATTATAATCACATTTTTTTAATATATCCATAATAGCAGCATGACGTTCGTGTGGTTTAGGAATATATTTTCGTGGTTGTTGTGCTTCTCGTACTTTGGATAACTAAAAACAAAAAATATGTTCGGTATCAATATTACTTCAGACTAGTTATTCAGAAGGTAGTCCTGAGAAGAACAAGATCAGAATTAATACTTTTTCATTGGGAACGATACCTTTTATGGTCATGTAAAGTTTACGACGAATATCATATTGTCATGACTCGTATGTTATAACTAACTGTGGGAAAGACGGTCCCAATTCCGTCGGGATAGGAATCCAAAACTAGTGATCCCACTGATGTTTATTTCAGACACGCACGAACGCTGTATACTAATTATGAGGCTACACAGTATTTAATTCTACTAACTTCTAGTATCGCTACAGTGTTTTATTCCGATTTCCTATGCCAGGGTACGGTTGAGGGCGGGCATGAATGTGTATAGATGTAGGGTGTAAGTTTGCGTCCGTGTGTATGGGCTAGGAAGTTGCTAGTCCTTTCAGACTCGCATTCGACTCGGTCGGGTCCAATCTTTTATTTTTTGTTGGGCCCGGTTACACGTTTTTGAGGGCCCGCTGTTCCCAAGATGAGAAATTCAGCAATAATATATAACTGTACGTTGAGTTTTTTTCCTGAGAGTAGCGAATAAATAGCTGAAACCTTGATCCGTCATTTGTTCATGTTCACGAAGGGTGACAGGTATTGATGGGAAAACCTCGGGTTTGAACACAGCCGGGCCCGGGTCTTGACTCAACTGGGTCCGGGTCCACAAAAACGTGGACCCGCAGCTCCCTAATGTGAGTGTGTTGGTGTATGCATAAATGAATGCGTGTGGGTAAAGAAAAGGCCTATGCCCACTAGAGCCCATCGGGCCCAAGTCTAAAAGTTTTGAGTCGACCGGTTCCTAGTCCAAAAACTTTTGGATCCGCTGGGCTCTTCGCGCAAAAGATTAATTAATCAGGTTCGAATCCAAAATTTTGATCGATTGAGTCCAACAAGTTTTAATCAGTTAGGTTCGGATCCAAGGATTCTTGTACCCGATGGGTTCTAATGCCCACACCCTAAGAAATATAGGATTAAGATTTATAAAGTTAGCTTTCTCTTTTCTATTATTTTTTTTCATGTAACTGAATAAAGCTCTTCTTGTCGTTAATATTATTAAAAGAAATTTCATCGTCAACATTTGACTTTTTCCTGTTTTCTCATTAGACATCTTCAATACTTCTAGTTTTCCCTTTCTATGTTTTCTATCAAATCCTACATGCAAAGATTAGAGACAGTTTTTATACTAGAGATAATTGTCGCGAGCTACACGGTGGAAATTCTTAATGATTATCGAAACTTACCGGTTTGTCATAAACTTGCCATGCTTGAATTCGACAAACTTCCAAAGGTAAATGACAAGGTTTATTATATTCATTGGGAATATATACTTGAATACATGGATAATTTGTTTGATTTAATGTAATATTTTTTGCTTTTTTATAATATTCAACTAATGTTTCACCTGATTCAATTGTAATTTCAACTGGTCGTCGATGATCAAATTGATCAATTGCATAAGCTTGTTTCCAATTTGATTGTTTTGTAGCAACCAAACAATTTTTTAATATTCGATTTAATTTTTTATATTCATTTTCATTTGGTATTCGTTTTGCACCAATTTGCATGTGAATAAAATCTAGTAGAAAAATTTCAGGATAAAATGTTGTTAATTTTGTTTGAACATTTAATGTCACACGATGAGATGCAAGATTAAGTGCTTGCATAAAACCAATACGTTCTTCAAATCCACCAGCCAATTTTTTAGGTGGTTCATTCAAGAAATAACAACTATTATTAACAACTTCAATTCGATCTTGAAGTGATTTTTTCAAAAGTGTTTCAAGAATACGTACTGCATCATATGGATATACATTGGCTTGACCATTGATATAATTTTGAATATCATTTGTTGACCATTGATTAGCTAATGATTTGATATTAAGTCGATTTCGATTATCTTTACTTGTGATCAATTCTGGTGATTTTAATAATGATGTGCTATATAAACATTTCTGTTCATCATACCAAACAACAACTTGTGGATCAAATCCACCATTAGAAATAAGTAATTGCATAATTCGAGTGCATCGTCCGCGACCTTTAACTTCATACCATTCACCAGAACATGAGCCAAGTTCTTCAATTGCTACATCATATTGATATAATGGAAGATTATTAGCAAATTCACATGAAAAATGATTTGTTAAAAGACATTCAGTTTTTCGACCTGAAGAATTTGTTGAAGCTGGACGACGAGGAAATGAAAAAAGATCAAGTGTAGCAGATGGAATTGCAGATGAAACTGCAATTCGTTCTTGACGAATAAAATTTGGTTTGTAACTTGATGCCATAATAATTTTATTTAATAAAATGCAATGAAGATGTAAATTTATATAATATGACGCTTGGTTTTTTCCAAGTAAATATAATTGCAAAAGATCTTGTAATATATAGAAGAGAACAGTAAAAAAAAGGAATGACTTGACGTGTTGTAGTTGTTGATTTAAAATAAACGTAAATGAGTTGGATAGCATTGACATGCTCAGGTATTTATTCACAAGAAAAACTGGGTATTTCTCGATATAAGAAAGAAATTATCTTGCATGATTGTCAAAGAATTTCATCGTGGAAAAATATTTTATCATTATGTCACGGCAAGAGAATAAAAAAGAGCCTATTTCATGACTCAAGAGAGTTGTCAAGAATAAGCAGACTATTATGTTTTTAAATTTAATAGACATCTATGAAAAATACTATTGGATTAGAAGAGACACAATTGAAAATAGAATTTCGTTGAGTCATTTAATTTACGAATTATATTGTTTCATCTCATCTAGTCAAAATTACTTAAAACATAAATGACTTTATTATAATTTGATTAAGTTTGGGATGATATCATCCAAACGAATAATTTTGACCGATTTCTGCTCGATTTTTATTGAAACTCGAAAATCATTCATGACTTTTCATGACTCATTATTTATGTTCTACTCAAATACACTCAGGTGGTTATATTGACTAATGACTATCATCATTTTGATATGTGATATATTTCATGTACGTGACAATGTAGTTTATGAAATTTGATAACATATACTGAACGAATTGAATAGAATGTCGCACGCTATTTGCTAAAGACAATACTAACCAACGATAATATTGTATAAAAAAAAAAACTTGTTGAGAAATATACTAAGCAATAATTTAGATGGGATTTTAAATATAAAATGATAGATATAATTTAAAGACATTTTTAGTATTTTGCGTTTTATGACCTAGTGATTTTACTGAAAAAAAGTTAAAACATATATCACTTGATGCAAAATTTTGTGCTCTACATTTTGAAAAAAGATTTTCATTTACTATTAAACAACAGTTTTAAAATTTAATGTTTGTTAGTCTTAGTGAATAATGACATTTGAAAATGAAGAATGCAAATAATCTCAACAACAACTAGTGCTTTGGATAGAGCATCAAAAACTGAACAAAACGATATAATTTTCATCTAAAAAAATCTGTGTTTTTGGGATATTCTATAAGGATTTTCCTTTTTTGATGACACATCGGTCCTCGAATTTAAGTTTTTTTCTATCAAAAGGCAAGTTTAAAATTTTGGGTTTATATCAGTTTTGTACAGAATTTAATTCTCTACAAAGCTGATTTCAAATTTAGTTTTTCATAGGAAAGAAATTTTAATTCGAGAAATGATGAGTCATCGAAAGCGAAAAAACGCTTCAAAATTCACTTTCAAACACAGCGTTTTTTAGACAAAAATTATATCGTTTTGTTCAGTTTTTGATGTTCTATCCAAAAAGCACCAGTTGTTGTTGAGATTATTTGCATACTTCATTTTCAAAAGCCATTATTCACTAAGACTAATAAACATAAAAATTTTAAAACAATGGTTTGATAGTAAATCAAAATTTTGTTTTCAAAATGCAGAGCACAAAACTTTGCATCAAGTGATATAAGTTTTAACTTTTTTCAGTAAAATCTCTAGGTCATAAAATGCAAAATACTAAAAATATCTTAAAATTATGTTCACCAGTTTAAGTGCTACTTAATGTATTGTTTAATCGTTCGTTGATGATCATGAACTTGATGTTACATCTTTTGATCAAGAAAAAATAATTTTTAGATTTTGTAAATAGCTTTTTCAGGTAGAAAAAATCCAACAATTAAGAATTTGTTTTTTGTAAAAAATCCATTGTGTTCAATTTTTACGAAATTATGATATTCAGAATCAGTGTAAAAGAATCGATCGAGTTTTTTATGCTGATTCTGAATATCAAAATTTCGTAAAAATTGAAAACAATGAGTTTTTTTTGCAAAAAACGACTTCTACTTAATTTTTGATTTTTTTTCTACCTGAAAAAGCTATCGAGAAAAGCTAAAAACTAGTTTTTCTTGATGAGAAGGTCAAACTCTTTCGAACCATATATAAAGACAAGGAAACAAAATAGCTTACTTGAATTTCGTGATACGGGCACCTTACGAATCTTCAGGATATAAGAAACTGTCGAATTCGAAAAATAGTTTTGAAGTCCGTCTTTTGGTACAATGTTTACATTAATATCTGAAAATAAAATATATCAAATGAAATGTTTTACTTAACCATTCAGTCATTTTTGTTGTCATGAAATCATCAATGAATTGCAATTAGTCACGGATTTTTTTCAATATCACAATTTGTCATTTAAATTTCAACAGTTTTCACGACATAGATTAGCTCGAATATAATATTCAATTAAATTCTAGCCAGAATTAGCTCCAAAGTAAGTTGATCTTATGAGAAAATAAACTTTTAATTGTTTGCAAGAAATCATTGCAGCATATAGAACGAGTTTATTTGACGAATAATTTTTTTTCTATGTAATATGTGTATGATATGAATATTTAATATGATGAGTATACTTTCAATAAAAGAAATGAAATCAACATCAATGATATTTAATGAAGAACTTTTTGAATCGAAAAGAAAAAATAATATTACTATAAATATTTTACTACTATGCGTTGTTTCTGTAGTTAAATTGTATAATTTTCTTGCTTGTTGCCATGTGGACCATTGCTGATATTAGTTATCTTTTGACAATAAATGTAAATCAATCTGTTGATTTCAACTTTTGGTTTTCTCCATGTGACTATCTGTGAAGGTGAAATGATATTGATTGTAGTATGCTTGAAAATAAATATGAGTGTTAAGTTTAATTAACCAACCCGTTTCGTGTCCTTGATTGAAATAGAAACACACATCATGACTCTTTACATTATAGGTGAGCACGAGGCAGCAGAGTACAAAAAAAACACTCGAAAAATGAATATAGGATGCACATGACTTAACATACAATTACATAGAAGTGAAAATAGAACAAACAAATCAGACTATGTTCTCTGATAGTAATACGAAAACTGATTAAATTCCTATCTATCTACCACTGTTATCATCTTATTTTTCCGTACTACTGTCAAAGGAGAAGTGAGCAAAAAGAAGAAAAGACAGTTAGAGTGTGATTATCATATTGATGTTTTGAAATATCTGTGGATGTGATGACTCTGTAAGTTCAGATCAATAAGCAACAGCAAATGATCCTATATTTTTTTCTTGTCATTATTAACAAATGCACTTTCCTGTAGCGACATCTATAAGGATATCGTGAAGCAGTGAATGAATCCAGCGTATTTTTACATGAGGTAGCTGAGAACTGAGAAAAACATATAATTATCATATGCTCACTGTGGGCGTCCCCACAGTCTAAGTATATGTTTATAGAAACTTGTCACCAGAACAGCTAGTGTTTCATTCGATTGTAAACAGTTTATTTTTGATTTATTTTAATTGGTGTCCTACTGGTCTCTATGCAAATTTGTTACAAAAATGCTATTGAAAAAAAAATTCAATTTAGGACAATATTGACAAAAGTCTGTTCTTGTCATAATTCTGTAGTCTTTGATTCAATGTCACATAGTGGAGTTAAAAAATAATATTGATTAATTGTTGAAGAGGCAGAAAACATTGAAATCAAACACGAAACTTGCTAGTGTTCGTTTGCATCACTTCATTGTATGAGGGTGGATTTTCTTTGCTATTTTCATTGTCAACTGAAATAGTGGCCGGTGCCGATGGAGGAGGAGGAGGATCTTGCCATGTTCTACGTGAAATTTTCTTTCGCTTGCAGCACAACAACGATGCAGTAGCGACGATTATAAGTATGGCGACAATAATTGATATAACAACAACAATTATGAGTGTCGTATTCAATGATTTTCCTTTGCTCTTTGCACCCTGACAGCATTCATCATCTTTGCTTGCTACACTGAAGAGAATACAACCAAAGAACACTATTACAAACATCCAGTATAATTTAGTGTGCATGACTTCCGATTTCAGTAGAAAATGGTGACCTACTCTTGGCAAAAAAGAGAACAGACAGAATATTTTATAGTGAATGGCATCTTATGAATAATATCTTGCCTTCATCGATCGTTTGTCAGCCCATGTTTTAACCTTTTTTTCTTTTTCTTTCTTCATCAATGTAGATCAATATATATAACGATGAAATACATTTAAAAACCATCTAAATGATTTTTGTGGCACATGGTGGCATTTGTATGCAATTCATGTTAACAAATATGTTTGAAAAGTACAGAAATATTGTTTTTTTTTTTTATATTTTCGAAACACGTTTATCATCATTTGTGTAATTTCAAATCAGATTTTTGAAAATGATCGAGTTCAGATTATCTAGAAAACGAGATTGGAAGCAAGTGCTTTTAACTTGGCTATCTGACTGTATTTATAATTTCAGACGTTCTCTATCGAAGACGCGCAGTCTGTGTGCATCTGTGTTATAAGCCTTTGGTGCTCTTGAGTTTTACTAGCTACGTGTCTTAATACAATTCGTCTATTCTCATGATATCACTAAGACGGATCTAACTGATCTTCACTGCAGAGTATTCAGTTGAGATGATGATGAATGCATGCACAAAAGCGAATGCAGACTTCTGTACATTGGACATCATACAGGAAAAAATTCTGAACGTTCGTGTCAACCTTTCATTGCTTCACAAATATGTATTAAGCCTATGGAATATAGTTACTTAGACCCATATTTGAAAACATTCATCGTTTAATAATTATTTAAATAAATTAATTCTTCTCATCTGTTTTCGAATTCATATAACTTTATGAACTAATTGTGACAGAAATAAATGTTTTTATTTTTATACGAAATCATATGATAATAAAAGAATAAGTTCCATGGTTTCTGATGATCGCGCAACTCATTTAATGTGCTTTGTTCAACCACTTAAAACTATGTCGGATTGAAGCAGATAAGTCATCTGAAAATAATAGTAGATCAACATGGTAATAGGACGTAAAAGTTTGGATAGGTTGATGTACTAGGTGAGAGTGTGTTGGAGTCTGGATCTTATCTATATCCACATGCACATCTCAATGGGATTCATCTCTAGACAGAATATCAGTTCAGTTGTTAAGAACGAATCTGCAGCGTGAGTATACACAAGCCCAAACGACGACTTTTTTATTCTCACAAGCGATAATATGTATCAGATAATTCGACATGATCTTATAAAGGACACCTTTTATTAAAACCAACGAGTAGGAAACAAGTGCTTGCGGCACAAGATGGAACAGACAGGTGTGCACTATATTATGTTATTTCAAACATGTAGATTGTTATTGGAGGTCTTACTCCGCAAATAAATTCATTTCTGGTCTTCGACACACAATTACGCATTTGGTTAGACTCAAAGAAAGCGATCAATAGGAGAATGGTGAATATTCGCTATCGATATTCATTGAGTACACCATAACTACTCAATTTCTTACCTGACAATGTTACAATCAGAGTAAACAGAGCATTTCTGTAACACTTTTTGCTCAGTCACAAACTACTGATACACCTATGAAAATCTAAAATTTGTCTTTGAAGAACATAAGGGAAGTTCTTGATCCTACTGTGACGATGACTCAAATTCAGAAAAAAAACCAAACTTTATCGTAGCTCCGTCTTTAATAAACAGAACTGAAGCATCAATAGTAATTGTTTTTGCCACATTTGCATTACTAATGAAATCTAGTGATACTATGCCTATGTAGGTGTCAAACATCTTCGATCAGTTCTGCATACATTATGCTGCAGGACATTCAAGTATTGATATATCATTGAACCTGATTAAGTTTATCGCCACTCCAATCACCTTCGTCAACACTGCCCAATAAGATCGTCACATAAAAAAGACACCGATCTTTCTTGAATCTACTAAAAGGTGTGAGTGTGAATTGACGGAACATTCACATCCACACTCCAAATATCTTCGAACAGTAGCAAGTTTGACTTCATTAAAAATTAAATCAAAAGAACCATACACAGATCATCATGATGATAATCAAAAATTAGAAATTGAAGAAAACAATTCTTTTATTGCCTAAAAGTGTTTCTCTATGTTATTCAGAGTAGTTTTTTTCACTCAGTATTTTCTCTACTAAAGTGGAAGTACTAAAATTAAATATAAAGGACGACAGATATTATAATCTGACATATAGAAATTACGGTAAGTTTCGGATAGAGTCCATCGGATTTGACTTGAATCCGAGCCTGTAATTTTATGTCAGTGTCAGCCGAGTTCGAGTTCAGAAATTTTGGATTCAACGGGTTCTAGATTTGGATAATATTGTATTAAGAATATACATTGTATACGTGGCTGTAAATTGGAGAAAAATACAAGTAATATGTGTTATTTTTCATTATGCCATAATTTACCGTGGCATCAATTTTACTTTACCATTCATCTATTTCACGTGATGAATGCTGTTTTTATAGAAGGATATAAGTATCTGCAACACATTTTGTTTACACTGTCTATGTTTAATAAAGGAAGAAAAACATTACCGAATAAGAAAACAAATAAGGGCATGGTAAGAACGGTAAGATTTTAAAAAAAAAACACAATATTCTAAAATACAAAAAAAGCAAAATGAGTAATGAAACTTCTAAAAAGAAATTAATCAAATACGAAGGAAGAAGAACAGAAAAAAAGCACAATATCAACTGTCCATATTCTCTAAATGATTATTTTAATGGTTGAAATATAAGATTAACAACCTTTTTTTTTCTGCAAATCATTAAATTTTTATTCGTATGTGTTTCACATGAAATGACTCATTAAAACGATTTAAATCAACTAAATTCACTTTTCATTCTTTTCGTTTCAATCGTCGATTCATTTTTGCCGTTAAGTAAGTGTAAATAAATCAACTAACATTTTCAAAAGGAAAGAAAAAAAATCAGTAAATGCTTTCAACTGAGTATTATTGACGACAAGCAAAACGAATTATTATTTTCATTTTCTTCTACTCTCTTTAAATACACCCAGTTAGTTGATTTATATGTATACAAATCAACAATCACACATGCAACAACCCTATCCGTATGGTCAATATGTATATCCAAACGGTGCACCAATGCCCGTTCGATATATGGTACCCTCTGGACAAACACAAGCATCTCCACCATTTGCTAATCAAGCATTTAATCGTTATCCTACAGTACCAGCAAACACTTATCCTCCACAAAATATGACACAACCAATACGTTATCCACCTGTATATGCTCAACCCATTATGCGAATGCCATATAATACACCTCAACAACAACAACAACAACAACAACAACCACCACAACCGTATTATTATAATCCTTATGCTTCTAATCAAGAAACTCCTACAGCATCATCCGATCCCAAAACACCGGCACCTAAAAAAGGTGCAAAAGAATATAAAGATAATGCATTTACAATTGCACCAGATGGTACACAGAATGAAACAATTAAAGGTCTTGTTTCTAATAATGATATTAATGAATTATTAAAACATAAAGGTACAAAAGTTAAAGTTTCAAAGATTTATCGAATTACAAAAACTAAACCTGAGATTAAACCAGATGAATCAAGTGATGAAGATTTACCACCTGTACCAGTAGCACCGTCTCGACCACAAACAATTCAACGACCAGTTTCACCATCATCGTCATCATCAAGCTGTAGTCACTGTTCAACATGTAGTAATTGTTCTTGCTCTGAATGTCGTGATCGAGATCGATCACACGGTTATGATGATTGTCCAGAATGTCGTGCTGAATGGAATCGTGAACAAGCTAGACGACAAAGACATAAATGAACTTGATGATATACATCCTAAGGACAGTAGTAAAAATATATAATTTAAGCAAAAAAGAATTTTGTTTTTTATTCTAATAAAATCGTCTTCACATTTAAATTATAGCTAAAGAATTTTATGTTTAAATTCATACATGAAGAGGTAATAGGATCAACATCTTTTCATTCTTCATGTCTTCATATAATTTATCTTCAAGCGAATCTGTGTCTAATTCATATCAAATTAGAATTAATTCGAGTAGTTTTCGATTCATGATTGTATAGAATATACCAGTAAAAGCTGACATTTATTTGCGTATGAATTGTTATTTAGTTCATACACTGTACTTGTCCCAAGTGTTTTTCTTGTAGACAAAAAAAAAATCAATAAAATCATTTTCTCTACTTATAATAAAATAAGAAGAATACTGCTCGATTAAATCTAAATGAAGTATACAATTATAATAGGCCATTTGACTCCTAATTGATGGCCAAATCTTATGGTACGATTGAATTTTCATAATTCTCAAGTTGGACTTGAAGAGTCTTGATTGAAGAAGTAGTGTTTGAAGTGAGTAGAAAAGCATATCGTTTTGGAAGTTTTCGGCCATAGCAAATGTTGTTACTTATTTAAAATGCACATGAGTCCAGAGAGATTGACAAATACAATTCAACGATGCTTCATTTATTCAGTTTTGATCAAATACCTCAAGGACTTTCGTTTTCTTACACGTATAAGTACAACTAGAAGTGAGTATAATATTCTTCAACAACTTTAAGTCAAGTCTAGAAAAACGTATAGTTATTGATGATTGAGAACACTCTTTTCAGTAGTGTAGTACAATTTGACATCTGTGTACTTTCCTTTTTTCGATGGTTTTACTTATACTGCCATTCTAATCACAATAGTTCTCAATCAAAAAGTTCATTTAACTTCCTGTGCTGATATTGGAACATTATCCATTCAAAATCACTGGTAATCAAAGTAATCAAGTAATCAGTTTTTTTCTTGGTTCCAAGTATATGGTTGTTACATAAGTTCTGCACGTTTGGATCAATAGAATTTTATTCCCAATATAAGACTACATTTTAAGAAAAGTAATTATATAATTTGATAGCGCTCGGAATTTTTTATCATCCTGTGTATTTAGGTCTTGATTTGCATTTATTTGCCGAGAAATATTTTTCAGTAAATAAATGCAAGTCAAGACCTAAATATACAGGATGATAGAGAATTCCGAGCGCTATCAGATTATATAATTATTTTTCTTAAAGTACAGTTTTATATTGGTAATATAATTCTACTGATCCAAACGTGCAGAACTTATGCAACAACCGTATATTTGAAAAAATGAGTCATGTTCGCTATGTTTCTCGATCCAAGTGGTTCAATTCAAGGAGTTGTATTAGCCATTGCAAAATTTGTCTAATTAAATCGACATACAAATGCTGATCTCAGTTGTACGAAATACGACAATGATGGACTAGAGCATACAGTACTTGATCCAAAAGTCAGAAATTCAAAATATTTTTAAGAGATAAATCTCGAGATTATTTACAAAACACTTCTTGAGAACTCTGGAAAATCTCAAGAATTCGAATCTAGACTGCAAGAGTAAGTATGAGAGTGATTTATTCCTCTCACTAATCTTGTAGATTGTCAAACTCGTCGATTTATTCATCGTAGAAATTACGATAAAAAAGATTTCAACACAGGTTCTTCATTGATATTGTCCAATTGAAACTCGAATATTTGCTCGCTCCATCCATTCGGATTCCCAGGTGGATCTGTCAGGGTCTTCTCGATAAAGAGTCCGGATTGATTTCGGCGAACAAGAATAACTGTCGATGTTCTACGGAAACAAAAAGATTCGATGAGTAGACGTATCGCTTGAAAGGATAGGATGATTACTACCTCGTGCCATAGACGGGCTTTTCTTTATTTGGCTCGCGGACATGAATTGATGAATTTTGATTACGACGATCCGATGTATATTGAGGATAAGCATTGGTCATGTTAACATCATTCCAGAAGCTACGCACATATCGAAATCAAAATGGTTTTAAACTAACGCGACAAATACTCACATTGTATTATCACTTAACAAATCGAACATGCGTCGAATAAGTTCCTTCTCATCGATGATTGGTCTTGTATGATTATCGGATAAATCGGCAAGTATAGTTTTCAATAATTGGCATCCATAACGGGTTTTTTCAAATTCATGTTGTTCCCCAAATGGATGATTACTTAAGCCGAAGAGCGCTATTAGAGCAATAAGTTGTATTAAGATAAGTAAAGAAAAAGACTAAAACTCACATGATTGAATCGTCATTGGAGGAGACAACGGTGGAACATTATCTATATATTGTACTCGCCACTCACTACAATCGCAAAGAAAATTATTAACTACTATATGATCGCTAGAGATATGCAGAAATGTGCTAAAAAAGATGATTTTTATTATACGTTCAAGCACAGTAACGCAGAACTGTTAGCAATATTCTACTTGAAAAAAACGGCACGAGACTTCTAAAGGCTTATCAAAATCCGAGAAAAGTCACGGAACGGAGCGATCGATTGTGGTCTCGAATAATTCGTCATCACGTCGACGAAAAAAAATGTTGACAAATCGAAATCCCGAGTGAAGCATTAAAAATTTGAATCAAAGTCTAGATACGAATTGAGAATATATCTATCAAATGCAATAAGAGAATCGCAACTGACGCATCATTGTCCCATACAGTCTTAATTCGTCGTCCTCTTACTGCATCAAATTCATCGATATAAAATTGTCAGTCGATTCTTTCAAGCTCATGAATCACTTGATCATTTCGGCAAGAAAGTTAAGGGAGTAGGATATGTCTAAGATATGCGTATGTACAAGAGCATTAAAAACTCATTTATGAAGAATTATCTGATTTTTTTTGACACAAAAAAAATTATCTCTAGTATCAATAGTAAATCATCAAGTGTGAAATGGAAGAATTGACAAAAATTCGAAACACCGAATATAATGATAGTTACACATATCGTTCCCTGCTTTATTAACAACAACTTGGCCAAACTGTTCTGATCACGGTGTATATACCTTGAACTTGTAAAAATTTCGTTCTTCGACTGGTGAACTGAGAATTTCTCTTGTGATCTGTCTAAAGATCTACCAAACTAAAACTTTTTTAGTTTCAGTCCCATGAATTTACGATTTGGCATTGGTTCTCCTCTAGACAATATTCTTTAAAAATCACTCTCAGTCCTATTGGTTGTCTCTGAACAAATTTCTTAAAACAAAGCTGCCGATTTCTCTGTAGTCATAGTCACTGCGGACAGTCCTGAAATCTTAGTAGAATCATAGTCAAATGCAAAATGTAGAATTAAGATTATTAATTACACAAATGGCATAGTATTCAAGTGAGATCAACTCAAATATCAAAATCAGAAATTTTTAAGAAAATTAAACTAAGGGCATATGCGTATAAGTTCCTTTTTCTATCCCTAATTTTTTCAAAAAGGTGACTATAACTTTCACGATGAATTTTGATCACAGAACTGGATATATGTTGATTTGTAGACAAACACTTCCTTTATCCAATGGTGTATATATTATCAAATTCTATTGCGTAGCGTGGAAGATGTTGAGTGCGTGTCTGTTACCGGGTCAAGAATCAAAGTATGGGTCGACAAGATGCATGTGGATGGCTATGAGTGGGTGAGTTTGTGGTTGTATTGGAGATCATCAAGTAACATCCACATTAAGTCTATCCATGCCATATTCATCCACACCTATGCCTACCACTCCCTGACCTTTGACCCGATAACAGACACACATTTAACATTATGTGTATGGGTTTTCTCTTACAGTGCGCAACAGAATTTCATAATATACACACCATTGGATAGAGGAAGTCTTCTTCTACAAACCTACATATATTCCATTCTGTGGTCAAACCGTCATAGTTGCTTTTTTTCGATTTTGCAAAGAATTTTGTGGGCTCCTCTATTCAGGACTAAGTCCTGATTCTTGCTGGATAGAAATTTTTGAAAAAAAAATAGGATCAGAAAATGGTCTTTCTCTCATCTGTTTTTTCAACATTTTGTCTTTCGATATTTAGCTGCTAATTTTTCAAATAGTTTCATTAATCATGGCTAATTATGTATACAGACAGAACATTCTACCTCTTTTGACTCACTTGAACTTCGGGTCTCGTTCGAATCCAAGAAAACTGAAAGGTATATAATTGCTTTTGTTCGATTGTAGTAGCTCCATGTATGTATCAAGATCCATCTCGGAGTTGTTAACATAGTTAGGTACAATGAAACCTCGACGAAGTGCTGTGGGATTTCTTTGTCTCATTACAGCAGAGGAGATATTCGTTAACACACCAATTTTTCCTTGTTTGGTATGAAGACAAAGCCAAGTACCACCTTCACATGATGCCATTTGATCTCTTCCTTTAGAAAAGTAACAACAAAACCGCTATTTAGATTGTCAGTTTGTCCAAAAGAACAATTATACCTCCAAGTACAAAGTTTGTCTGCGGCCATACATGAGCAGCAATAGTAGGTCGTTGAAAATCTTCATCACGATTCGAAAGTAGAATCAATTCATAGCCTAAGTCACATTTTTCGTCATGTCGTTGAACGTAACAAAAGAGGATGCACATTATCTCAAAATACACATGCACACACATACGAACGTATTTAGGTCCAACAGCTGCAGTTAGGAATATACAAGACGTGTCATTCCAGCTGTGACATGCAAATGGTAGAGAGAACGAGAAAGTGATAGACAAAAGAGAAAAGGACGTCGAACTGTTGCAAAGAGAAAAAAAGACGTTTTTATCTATTTACTGCGCAGTGTGATAGGATTCTAAAATATGCATTCACTAACATTTAATATCAACATAATGTCGCGGAAATGCACAGAAATACTTTTTTTTTTATTGACACACTGTCAGCCCATTATTACTCTGTTACACATTTTTCTACTATAAAATTGTAGCCTGAGTGAAATGACATAGTTTTCTACGAGGATCTTGAATTTTTTCGTCAGATGCGTCTTATGGTGATTGACAAGTAGTATGAGTCTCTATTTTGTATTTCAGAATGTTTTTGGGTTTAAAATATGTATTTAGTACTTCATTGTGTAATCCTATTTCATGAATGATTTATCTCTATTTTTTGTTGTATATCTGTGCCTACCTGTGGAGCGTGATATCAATAAAAGAGCACGAGAAGAAGGATCCGTTCTTATCTTATGTAAATTTTCGAACTTTGCTTCGTCAATAAGAGAGATAGTAAACTTTCGTTTCTTTTTATGTCCAGTCATAGTGGGTCTATTTATATCTGGTCTCTGCAGAGTTTTTGTCTGGCCAGAGTAGCGATATTTAAATCATTAGTTGTTGTTTTTGATGTGTGTTTCATGGTCTAATTGGCTTTGGAAATATCTATTGGGGGAGGGGCTGGTCAACATGGAATTTCTACTGACACCTGACTAGGACGCAAAAATCGTAGATGTTCTAATGCTTCATTCCTATTTGAAAAGCAAAATGATTTAGATGAAAAAAAAATGGCAGAAATGGACGAGACGTTGTATCGCCAGTGTCTGGTGCTCGTAAAATTATGTTTTTCTGTGTTCAGCAGTTCAAGCAGTCCATTTTTACACCGGTGTACACATCATAACTTTTATCTGTCGATAGACAATGCAACTACCCAAGCAGACAAAGTTTTGAGAAAACGCGTTTAAACGCACAGAAATTGACCTAAAATCAGCAAAAAATGGACGTTTTTGGCTCACACTTGAGGTTTCCGACTGTGAGCCAAAAATGCCTATTTTTCGCCCTTTTTGTGCGTTTAAACGTGTTTTCTCAAAAGTTTGTCTGCCTGAGTATTGACATCGGCTATATTGAAACTGAGCTGAATGTCAAACTTATCATTACCTCTTGATAAATGTGTTTATGATAGGAAGAGAAAGAAAATGCTTGTTGCTATAGGAGTCGCTGCTTTCAGATCAAAACTACAACTACATGCATGTGCATAATGAAAGCCGCCGAACAACTACGCACAATAGGGAGCGAGTGTGAGAATGAAAATCTGATAAACAAAGTAAAATTCAGGATGAAAGTGTGAGGGTGAGTAGATATGGCCGTGTTACGATAAATGGCTGTTTCTGTTCTGCCGAGGCTTCATCAGGTAGTATCTTAATATTATATCTAAGCAGAAGTGTAATTCGTGATAAATCATTTGCAGTACAAAGATAGATACGATAATCAATTTACATTTGCACATTCAAATTTTCAAAATAGAATTAACATAATTATAATCATCAACGATTATACATGTTCATATCTATTTAAATGAAAATTTTGAAGAAAATATCAAAGATGAGGGTGAGAATCGTGAGGGCGTCGATGAGTTTAGCGTGCCATGATCCAGATTTCGACCTTGCTTAAGGGCCTCATCAGATGGCTTTAATTCTAATGTAGTTGTTCAAAATGATTTAATAGATGGTCCATGACTCAATCGAGCATTTGAGTGAAGATCCGTCATGAGAAAAGTTTTTACGTACTCTTTTTATGGTTCAAAAGAAAGCCTGAACAAAATTTTAGCTCAATCGGACGTAAACCTGAAAAATGAGAGATGAAACACTGCGAGGATGAAGATTGGATACCCATATATCGATCAATTTCAGTATTTTGACAATATCTCAGAAATGAGTCAACGTACTGCGTCGAGTAATATCTCAAAAGATAGAATTATTTGCTCCACAAATCAGTCCATTTGGAACTCTCCTACAAGGAGGAAAAAGCTGCATTTTTGATTGTTTTGATTGACAATGATTGGCAATGATTTATTTGATTCCAATCAGCTTTTTCTCCCTTGACTAGACCTAAATTGGAATAAAAGGGAAAGAAAGAAAATAGAATTTGATAAAGACATTTTGGTACATTTTACATGTACGCCATCACTAGCACACTTCGGCGCTCGCTTTCATCAGATATGGGAGAAAATATTCGAAAGGACACTACTTGACGACATACCTGCCATGTATGCGAACAGACTAGTGGATAGCTTAAAGCACTTATTAGTCAAAAAATCACCCAGCAGAGAAGCGATTAAGCTGCTACCAGAAACATCGAAAAAATAGAATAGAACATAAAAATAAAACACGAATTAAAAAGAAAAATAAGAAGAATAAAAACAAAATAAAACTAAAAACAATTAAGTTAGGACAAAGCAAAATGACTTACCATAACATCAGCTTAAAAAGATGGAATAGAGTAAATATAAAACAAAGCAACAACTAAAAGAAAAAAGAAAATAGAATATCAACCAGAAAAAAACATTAAACAAAACATCAACGAAAAGAAAAAGAAAGAGAATAGGATAAAAAAGAAAAAATGGCTAACACTAACATCAATCACAAGAACATTCTCCATTCATTTATATCAAATCTCCAAAATCACCTCTATCTTTCCCTTAAAGTTTGTATAATTTTCCCTTCTGTATTACCTTCCCTTTCGTATCACTTTTCTCTAGTAAAAATCAGTGACTAAAAATAATTATTTTTATTTTTATTTCTGCTTGCTTCTTATCACATTTGCGTAACGATTGTATCATTTCATTTGGTACTGTCCCTTTTGCGTAATGATCATGTCGTTACGTATACATGAAAAATTATACTTTTTGTGACGATTTTCAGATAGAAGAAGTGTTAATACTGATGGAATTATGCTTTATTGAGCTTCTTCGTATCATACAATCGCCTCGTTTACATGTAAAGCACAGGTTTATATACACGAGTAGAATAAGAGATGATGAAAAGAAAGATGATGAGACCAAGGAGAGAACAATGCAAGAATGAACAAGTGGTGAGGCCAAGGAGAGAACAGATATACAGGTTGATTACATTATTTTTAATAGTTTTGTATAGCTTGCTGTATTTATACAATACATTGAAAAGTTCTTATTTTAACATAGTTGGATAGAGCATCGGCTGCTCTATCAACACATATAATTTGCTTTTTACTTTCTCTAGCTCTAGCCAAAAAAATTGATGCATCTCAAACAACTATGAAGAAAATTTTTTTAGGGTTCTTGACATGATTTTTAATAGTTTTATTTTTCACATACAGGTTGCTCATGCTATGCTTAATAGTATTCACAATAATACGTGCAAATTATATATTGAACAATTTTTTTCTTTCCCGTTTATGACAGTTATAGTCTTCTTCTTTTATTCAACTCGTTAAAGTTCATTTTAATAAATGCCACGTAATAAAATTTCTGACAATGTCGAAGGACGTATTCTGCAACTATTACACCAAAGATACGCCCAGCCTCGAATTGTGATCACTTTGAAGCTTAGTAGGCTCAAGCTACTGTGTCAAATGTCAAGTGAAAGATCGGGCGGCAGCGAAATTCTGAATCCAAAAATTAATTTTTTTCAAAAAAAACCATGGCAAACCACGTCTATAATGACAAAGGTCATTAAGAAAGTTGACGTTAAAGATTCACCGACTCGTTATTATATTGACAAGGTTTTGAAACTATTTTTAATACGACACGTTGCACGTTTATTTCCAAAAACATAAAAAATAAAGGGACTTTTTCATTAAGACTCGGCACCAAGCTATACTTCCAAAAGAACAATTAATTTTTTGAATAGAAATAAAATTTATTATTTTAAGCAAGGGGAAAGGATGCCTAGCAGTCTTGATGGCGCACCAATGGGTTATTCAATATGGGGATACACTTGCTATGATTTAATTATTTGTTACATAGTGCGATGCTTCTCATCAAAACAATCACAACAATAAAATTCTCCGAGTGAAGACAGAAAGTTAGGATGCGTGTGGCGTGGGCGTGCGTTAAATCATGCTCACACTCACACTCACACCCTGTGAAAATGAGCCACTATCAAATGTTTCGGTCGTTGCAATAGACTACTTCTTTCTGTAAATAGCAGTGCACAGAATTATGGCTGAGTATACGTCATTGAAGTCAACCAAGGTATAATTT